TGTTTTGTTCTTTGCACTGGGCAGGCTGTGTCAGGCAGACTGAGGTCAGATGTCGGTCCTACCCCACACCCTCCCACTCCCCTTGCTGGTCACCTTGGTTGTGCCCCTTCTTCGCTCAAGCATACATCCCCATGCCCTGGGACCGGCATTAATCCCCATCCTCCCACCCTGCAAAGGCTGTGCTGTAGCATTCTGGAAGTGTCCCAGCCCCTCTAAAGGGGTTTAAGCCAGTCCAGGGCCTGTGCAGTGAGGGGACCAAATGGGAGGCTGGTGGGGGGGACAATGACCTTCCCAGGGCTCACTCTGGGAGGGAAGATTGCATATCTGCTCCTCATCCATCCCTGCTCTTCCCCACCCCACCCTCTCATGGGATATTTGGGGCTCCCTATTCCTTTCCTTGAGCTCAGGCCCTGCTTGCCTTCTCCACAATAAGATGTTATTTAAAAGATCAGGAGATTTGCCGTAAATGGGCATAGAGTGCTGTGCCAGGGCCCAGGGTAAGGGGCGGGGGAGGAGGCTGCTCTGGGTGGAGGAGAGAAAGGAGTGGAGCTGAGAGAGAACAACTTCCCCAGGGGTGTGCACAGCCCTTTACAGTTTGTCAAGCACAGTTCCAAACTGTGGGTGGATGCCGTAGCCTTTCTGCTACAGTCCCCAGGAATGGCAAAAGGGTGTTTGGGGAGGCAAGGAGTCCAGACCATGGGGCATCCCCCTGACACCTGCCCCCACCACCAGTCCCCAGGCCTTTGGCTCCTGCCCTGGGTTGTCCCTGCCTGGCCTCCCAGCCCCAGCTTGTAACTGGACGCCCTCTGCACCCTCCCAGGTGAGCGGGGCTCTGCTTACTGAATCCAACACCGGCTTGGGGAGGGAAGTGAGGGGCACCCCAGGGCCGGGCATCTGCCTGGAGGCTGAGAGGCTGAAGGAGGGGCTGCAGCCATGGGGGAGAGTCCAGGAGCAGGAGGTGGGCTGGCCGTCTGTCTTCCTCACGCACCAGCACAGGGCTTGTCTGGCACCTGGGGTTCCACTTCCTGTTCAGGGGCACCTACCAAGCCATCCAAGCCCCGCCCCTTGCAGTTGGCCTGACTCAGGAGGCCCCTCCTGGCCCTTTGTCTCTCAGCAAGTGAAGCTCTTAGAATCCTAAAGAAATGGAGTCTTGCACGTGGGGCTTCAGGGACAAAGCTAGGGAGCAAGGAAGCATCCCACGTTTGATCCTTTTTGCGAAGGCCCAGAACTCCAAGTGGAGGCCTCAAACACTTGGGTGCCCACCTTGGCTCTGCCATTTACAGCCATGTAACCTTGGGCCACCCACCTTCTGTGAGGCTTAGTCTCTTCCTCTGTAAACAAGGTCTCAAGCTCCCGCTCCCATAGGAAAGTGCGCAGAGGAAAGAAGAGGGTGGTTATGACAAACGCACTGACTGACCACGGCGAGGACCTCATGTTTGTTGGGGGAAGCAGAGGGGGGAAGACTTCATCGTCCCCTTCCCCACAGTGGGTGGGCACTGCTAGGATCCTCCAGGAGGCTAGATGGGAGGAAGGCTTTGTGAACGAGGGCATTCATCCACTCTGAGCTGTTGTTAACTCTTTGTTATTCCCTGGAGGCTACTCTAGAGGGAGGGGGGTGGGGGTGGTGTAGGCCTTTCAGGTGAGAATAAAAGGCAAATAACAGCTAACCTTGAAGGTTTACCTGGCCCCACCCCAGCTCTTTAGCTGTCCTAACTCCATCAATTGGCTGTTATCACCATTTCACTACTGAGTCTGAAGATCTAAGCAAAACCTTCAAGGTCACTCAGTTGGACATGGTGGAACCAGTATTTAAACGCAGGAATCAGGCTTCAGGGCTCTCTGCTCACTTTGCCAAAACCCCAGGACCCTGTATCTGGGACTTGGGTTCCAGACCCGGCTTGCAGTGTGGCCCAGGCCAAGTCACCTAACCTCTCAAAGTTTAGGTTTCTCTCTCCATCAAATGACAATCGTCCCCCCTCCTTATAAGGATTACTGTGAGAAGGAAGCAAGAGGTCTAATGAACACAAACCACGAGGCACTCAACAGATACCTGATAGAAGTTTCTTAACAAAGGAACTTCCGCCTCTCCACACTAACTCAGCCCCAGCTCCTGAGGAGTCCACAAGCCCCACCCAGGCGCAGAGGGAGACAAAGGATCTGCCAGGTTCCTGGGAAGGGACTGAATGACCACTTGGCGCCACCTAGTGGTCTGTGGTATGTGGTGCTGGGGGAATGGGAGGGCTTGGCTGCTCTGGGATCTGGGGGTCTGAGTATGACCATTGGCCCAGTGGGGGTGGGAAAAATATACCAGGACCTCAGAAAGGATAGGGTCATGCCCACCACCCAGGATGGTGGGCACTTTTCCAGTCCCCCTCAGCCTCTCAAGGTCCCCTCCCACATCTTTTTCCCTTTGGACAGCTCGGAGAAGACCAAGGGAGGGCACAGGGTTCTAGCTCCAGCTCTGCCACTGGCCTCAGCTGCCTCGTCTGCATAATGGGAGTAAACATTTCCTGCCTCCCAGGGGACCTGCCACAGTCTATGCTTTCTTTCGTTTATCAAACATTTAATGAAGTCTCTACTTTCTAAAATCATCATGCTAGGGCCGGCCCGTGGCTCACTTGGGATAGTGCAGTGCTGATAACACCAAGGCCACGGGTTCGGTTCCCTATATAGGGATGGCCCGGTTAGCTCACTTGGGAGAGCGTGGTGCTAACAACACCAAGTCAAGGGTTAAGATCACCTTACTGGTTATCTTTTAAAAAAATAAAAAATAAAATAAAATCATCATGCTGAGTGCTGTGGGGACACAAAAACAGCTGAGCCAGGTCTGTCAGTACCAGGAGATCTGCCTCATTCTAGGGGGAGAACAACTTGTAAATTGCTCACTACCCTCAGCTGCAGATCCCAGTGGGCACTGAGGGATGATGGGAGATTCATTTCCAGGCAGAAGCACCGGTCCCTCTTGCACCTTCATGGCACATGCTGCCTCTTGCCAGTGGCTGCAGGACCTGCGCAGGAGACCAGGTCAACCAGCCACATGCTCACCTTTAGGTCCAGGCTGAGTGAGGGAGGAGGCAGCAGAGTGCAGAGCTCCTTCCCCTGGTGGCTGTGCTCAGTGTCCAGTGGTGGCTGCAGAGGTCCTCCTGGCCTGGCTGCTCCCAGCTCTCCTGCCAGTGGTTCTAGCCTCCCTGGCCCCAATTTTTTCCAAGCCTAGTTTTCTGGACTTCATGTTGGTTCTGAGGATGAGCCTTCCATTATCTAACTTTCCTGTTTAAATTATTCTACATCAGTTTCTACTTCCCTCCAAGAACCCCAAAGGTTACAATGCTGTCAGAAAACATGAGACCACACAGAAACCTAAGAATCACTGTTCCTTGTAGCAGTGGTTTCAACAGAGGTGCAAATAGCAAGAGATCTTGACGTGACCTGCTCACAGCTGGACTTGGGAGGAAAGCTGTTTTCTGCAGGCAGACTGGGAACATACTGACTCATGAATGGCACCACACTTAAAGACCCCCTGGTTGCTCACTTGTTGGGAGGGGGTAGGTCACCTTGTGGACTTGGCTTCTGCTTGTAAGAGTGTCTTCTGTTCAAGGCAGAGAAAAGGGATCACAGTTAAAAAAATAATCAACTCCTCAAGGTCAGAAAAGGTGGTGGCAAGAGCCTGACAGGCAGGGGTCATCCTGGGCCCTGGGGCCGGGCTGGTACCCCTTTGAGCCTCTACATTTTGTCTGCCAAAGGAGCCAGTGTAGGAGCCAGACAGGACTGTGCTCGACAGACATCTCAGTGATGATCATTATGGTCATAAATGTTAACAGCTACTGATGAAGTTCCTGCCATGTGCTGGCCTTTCTGACAAGCCTATGTGAAAGGAACAGTTACTACCTGCACTTTATAGGTAAGCAAAGCCTCTCAGACAGATTGTGTAACCTGCCTAAAGTCACACAGTTGGCGAGTGGCAAAATCAGGATGGAAAGCGAGGTCTGTCTCCTGAGCTATAATAATAGGTCAAATTCTTCACAGGCATCTTCCCTGCCTCCTCCACGAAGCCCACAGGGAAAGTCTGAGCCCGGAGCCCCTCTGAACCATCACAGCACCGAGCCCCCATGTCAGTGGTGTCTACCATTTAACCAGACACTTCCTGAGCACCCATTCACTGGGCACTGAGATCTCTGCTGGCTTGTGGGAGACAGGGATAAGTGCCTTCAAGCACGCAGATTTTGTGTTTCCTAATGTCTCCACTGTACCCCCTACTACTACCGAGAATTGAAACCTTTTTGCTCATAAGCAGAGAACCTTAGTTTTAACTAGCCTATGAGGACCCCTGAGCAATTTCCATCAGGCTTTTTTGTTTTGATGGCTGGCCGGTATGGGGATCCACCATCAGGCTTTCTGATAAACTGAAGTTAGTTTGCTGATGATTCCTTCCCCATCAGAATGTACAAACTTGGAGCCCCAGCAAGGATCAAACTGAGAAAGTTTCAACCCAGGCCCCCAGCATTCTTCTGATGTTGCAGCAGGCCCCAATTGCATTTCTCACCATGTGAATTCTCTAGCGTGTCCTTGCCTGACTACTGGGTGATGGTGACTCACCTTGCATTTAACTGTTAGTCAACAACCTCATGTAACTCAGCTTTCCAAACTAACAAAACCTCACATAAGGGTGCTGTGATCTCAGCTGTTGTGGCATAAACAAACACCTGTGTGCACGTGCATGAGAGAGGGAGAGAGAGGAGACAGTTCTTACGCAATCACAAGTTTATTTGTCCTAAAAAATACAACCTTAGAATATCCATTTCAATGGGCCGGCCCGGTGGCGCACTCGGTAGAGTGCAGCGCTTGGGAGCGCGGTGGCGCTCCCGCCGAGGGTTCGGATCCCATATAGAGACCGGTCCGCTCACTGGTTGAGCGTGGTGCGGGCACGACACCAAGGGTTGCGATCCCATTGCTGGTCGCGGTACGGGCGTGACACCTAGGGTTGCGATCCCGTTACCGGTCACGAAAAAAGACAAAAAGGAAAAAAAAAAAATCCATTTCAATGCCCTTAAACACTGTTTCTCTATTGAAAAAGCAGCTTAAAATATGGGTGCACCTTTTGCAGTGTATATTCTCAGGTTAGGCTCAGAAGGGTATTTGTTCTGGGCTGTGCTAGGCTCAGCCTAGCCGTGGAGATACCAAGTTCCATTCTCTGTCTTGCGCCTATACCTGGCCTGAGTCCCTCCCAGGTCCCCGACTGGAAACGCTGGTGCTGCTCCCAGATCACCTATCTTCACTGTTTCTCCCTTCTGCAGCCCAAAGGGAGCGGTGTTCAGGACTGTGTGGCCCCATGTCCAGCCCTCGCAGAGAGCTTTGTCCTCTGACACCAGGTGCCACCACAGGCCCATTCCCAGCTGGCACAGAAAGGGTTACTTATGGCCTTGGAAGCAGCTTACCCAGGGCAAAGGGGGAGAACTGAGGCACAGCTGGTAAGTGGGAGGGAAGCACTCTACCTTTAACCCTGCCAGGAGTCTGAAAGCCCTTAAAGAACAGAGAAAAAACACTGGCTGCCCTTCCCCAGATATTCCCTGGGGCCCTGGCCCACTAGGGAACAGGAGGGGAGACCACCCTTTGTTTTCTCTTTGCAGCTGGAGCTCAGAGGTTTGGGTCCATGTTCTCCTGGTCTGAGGCTGCGTCATCATCATTTGGGGACTCCTGGATCAGAGTTAGAGAAGCCCAGTCATGGTCTTGTGCTGTTCCCCAGAGCCACAGCCTGGGGACTAGCATCTCCTTGCTCCCGCCCCCAAAGGAGCTAGTAGAGGGCTCTGCTGCCCCCATCCCTAGGTCCTCCTGGGCCTTCTCTCTGACCTAGCTCCCAGCCTGCCCATAGCCACAGGGCCCGCCATTAGGTGACTCCCTCTTACCAGGCTGAGACCCCTGCCCTGCCGCAGGGTGGCATAGAAGTGCAGCACACGGGGGTCACAGCGAACCACCATGGGGTCAAAGTCCAGCACCCGTAAGCCCTGCAGGCTGCGGGCCCGGGAAAGGGCCACATAAGCCTGGCCACTGGCAAACACACGGCCCAAGGAAATCTCCACACAGTCCAGGGACATGCCCTGGGGGATGGAGGGACAGAAAGGGAGCCAGCTTAGCCTGAAGTCCCTTGCGCCCAAGAGCCTGACCCTTCACCAGCCCAGTTACTGCCCTGGAATCTCCTTGCCTAGCCCATAGAGTCTCGAGGCAGAGGGAGAGCCTGACAGCAGATGGCTTTCTGAGAAGGAGGGGGACCAGGAGACACAAGTTCAGGATAAAAGTTGAGAGATGGGGTGAAAGGAAAGAGCTCAGGCTCTGAGTCAGACAGACATGAAACTGAATCCTGGCTCTGCCACTCACTAGCTATGTGACCTTAGACAAGTTCCTTAACCTCTCTGAGCCTTGGTGTCCTCCTCTGTGAAACAGATATGATTATTAATCACATCTATACTTTATACAGTTGTAGGGATTAAATTTAACATTTCTGGTAGTGGTTCAGAAAACAGCAGGGCAGGGGCCGGCCCGTGGCTCACTCGGGAGAGTGTGGTGCTGATGGCACCAGGGCCACGGGTTCGGATCCCATATAGGGATGGCTGGTTTGCTCACTGGCTGAGCGTGGTGCTGACAACACCAAGTCAAGGGTTAAGATCCCCTTACCGGTCATCTTTTAAAAAAAAAAAAAAAGAAAGAAAAGAAAACAGCAGGGCAGGGGCCGGCCCGTGGCTCACTCGGGAGAGTGTGGTGCTGATGGCACCAGGGCCACGGGTTCGGATCCCATATAGGGATGGCTGGTTTGCTCACTGGCTGAGCGTGGTGCTGACAACACCAAGTCAAGGGTTAAGATCCCCTTACCGGTCATCTTTTAAAAAAAAAAAAAAAGAAAGAAAAGAAAACAGCAGGGCAGGGGCCGGCCCGTGGCTCACTCGGGAGAGTGTGGTGCTGATGGCACCAGGGCCACGGGTTCGGATCCCATATAGGGATGGCTGGTTTGCTCACTGGCTGAGCGTGGTGCTGACAACACCAAGTCAAGGGTTAAGATCCCCTTACCGGTCATCTTTTAAAAAAAAAAAAAAAGAAAGAAAAGAAAACAGCAGGGCAGGAAATGGCAGAGGGGAAATAAATGTGTCCAGGAAAGGGAGAGAAGGAGGAAGGCTGGGAAATCACTAAAGAAAGGTTTATTATACTCTTGGTCTGGAACTTTCCATCCAGAGCAAGCTCAACCCCATAAAGCCTTCAAGACAACCCCCTCCCCCCAGTATGCCCCAGGCACATCCTGTGCACTCTGTCCTGCACTGTCCCCACTCCTTGCACTGACGGTCACCTGGCTCTTGTGGATGGATATTGCCCAGGCCAGCTGGAGGGGCAGCTGCTGCCGGCTGAGGAACTGGCCCCCTGTGGCCTGCACTGTCCAGCGGTCAGCGCGGATGACCTCAGTGACTCCACACAGGAACCGCACCTGGGGCAGCCCTGAGGAAAGCATGGAGAAAAAGGACCTTTCAGGTCGACCTCAGGGCTCAGAGGTGAGGAGCAGGGGCCTTTGGGTCTTTCCATCTTAGCCTTTTCCTCCTCCCACTAACCCTGAGACCCTGCTGCAAACCCAAGCAGAAGGGCTGCCACTGCCAGCCATCACTTACCTCTCCCTTCCGCCTCGAACCCAACCACCACCCCTCGGGCACCATTCACCAGGCCCCGAGACACTGCTAAGTTCTTCACCAGCATCACCTGCAAAGGAGAACTGGAGGCATGGAGAGCAGCCCTGCCCCACGCCTGGCCTCATCACCAGCAGTCACTCTTCTTGGAGGCTGAGGGCAGGGAGCTGTCATGGAGGGTCACTGAGTCCCAATCCTTAGCTCTGCCACTGGCTGACTGTTACCCCTGGGACAAGCTTTCCCTTGTATCTCAGTTTCCCCTTGTGTCAAAGGGGGTAACATCTGCACTGTTTGCCCCAGAAGGATGTGGTAAAGATAGGTAAGGTAACCTATGTTGCAGGGCTTTGAAAATGATCAGATCTGTTGTGGGGCATGTATGTGGGCCACAAATCTTGAGGGATGGCCCTTAGGTCCTGGCACCCTTCTCTCAGCCACACTGTGCCTGCATTTTCCCCTGTGGTGCCCTTTGGACCCTGAGGAATGTCTCCCATCCCACCCACCGACCCATCCCCAATATCATAGGATGAATCAAAACTGTCTCACATCTATAAGGTATACAAAGGTGCTTCAAAAAGTTCATGAAAGTTTGTAAATTTTTTTTTCTTCAAAAGATGACCGGTAAGGGGATCTTAACCCTTGACATGGTGTTGTCAGCACCATGCTCACCCATTGAGCTAACCAGCCATCCCTATATGGGATCCGAACCCGTGGCCTTGGTGTTATCAGCACCACACTCTCCCAAGTGAGCCACGGGCCGGCCCAAGTTTGTATATTTTTTAATTCCGTTTTTCCATAAACTTTTTAAAGTTCTCTCGTACTACAGAAGACAGCCATGTGGGGTAGGTATTTCACTCCCCAGTTTAGAGGTGCAGGAATAGAGCTTCAGCAAGTGAAAGGGACTTGACCAAAGCAACACTGCTTGAGGAGCTCCAGGTTTAGGACGAGGAGGGCAGGGGAAAGGTGAAGGCAGGAAGGTGGTGGAAACAGGAGGTAGGGGGGTTTTAGTGTGGTCACAACTAGGCCCACTGGCTGCAGAGTGGCCTGGGCAGAGGGGTAAGGATCGGGGAGGCCATGTAAGACAGCCCAAGCTCTAGGGTCTAGGCCCTGCTTCCCACTCACCTGGGCCCCCAGCTTTAACTGAAGGAGCTGGCTAGCAGGACACTGGGCATCCAGGGTCCGGGATAGCTCAGGGTGGCTGTCCACAGCCTCAAAGCTGTGTACTTCACCTGGATAGAATTGGGCAAACAGATTACAAATCACTGGCTTGTGGCTCAGTTTCCAAAAACGGCTGTTAGACCAGGCACTGGGGGGTGGAGTGGGGGCAGCTCAGGCCTAGAGAGGCTTTGGAATCAATTCACCACACCTCTCAAAGTCACAGTTACTGTGGCAAATATACGGCCACAGAAGTTGGGGGCCTAGATATCCAAATGACCCCAAGGGCCCAGGCTGCCTGGGGGCCACACCTGCCTGATGGCCCCTGCCAGCTGGTCTTGCTCATCCCTGCTCCCTGCTCACCTGGCAGCTCCTGCAGCTGCATCTCGTTGGTCAGGGCCACGTCATCCTGGTGAGTGCAGAGTCTTGTGGCCACAATCCCGTCTCGTCCCACCTTGTGAGCAGCTGTGGCCCGGAGCTGGCGGGTCACCTCATCTGAGCACCTGTGGGGGTTAGGCTGTCAGGGCAGAGCCCACCTGAACACCAGGGAAGGTGAGGAACATGTACAGTGTGGTCCAAGAAGTGAGCCATGGATCAGGCCTTGGGACTGGAGAAGGGCACCAGAGTAAGATTTGCTGGCTCCCAGGCTGGCCAACTGTCCCTTCCTCACTTGGGCCCCAGAAGACACGGGGAATGATCCCAAGGATGGGGGGGTGCTGGGCCATGATCATGGGCAAACACCCTTCCCCATGCTGCCCTCTCCTCCCTGACCCCCACCCCCCATAATGCTCCTGAGGAAGCTGGATGTGATGAATGAGCATAGGCCATTGGCTTGCAGGACCCAGACAAGGGGCTGATGCTGATACCCTATACTACTGGCTACCCTGTAGTCAGATCCATTTCCAGGATACAATCTTCTTCTTTTTTTTTTTTTTAAAAGATGACCGGTAAGGGGATCTTAACCCTCGGGCTTGGTGTTGTCAGCACCACACTCAGCCAGTGAGCGAACCGGCCATCCCTATATAGGATCCGAACCCATGGCCTTGGTGTTATCATCACCGCACTCTCCCGAGTGAGCCACGGGCCGGTCCTACTTCTAGGATACAATCTTCTGGCCATTTGCCTGCTGCCTTGGGTGAAAAACCTAATCTGTTTCTATTTTCCCTAATCTCAAGCCTTCCTCTACATGGAAGCTTGGGTGCAGCAGCAACTCGGGGAGGAGGAGGGGACCAGCTTGCAACCATCTCTGTCTGCTCTGCCACTCATCCTTCCTCCTGTCCCCCACATGAGCTGGTGTGTGCTGCACCCTTTCCTACTTGCCTCCCATGACTGTGTCAGGGGTCTCAAGGCATAGAAAGCCTGTCACAGCCACTCCCCTGTCCTGGTCCCATCCCTGTCTGGGCTGTCTTTCAGTTCTGGCCCATGTCTTCTGCCTTCCTGGCCTCCTTTGCTCTCCCACTTTTTTGGGGGGGTGGGTGGAGGCAGCTGGCCATCAGGGGATCTGACCCTTGACATTGGCGTTACAAGGCTGCACTGTAACCAACTGAACTAACTGGCCAGCCCCTGCATTCTCACATTAGAGAAGCCATGGCATTTCAACCTTTTGTCCTAGCTGGAGAGAGATCATGTCTGCAACCTCCCCTCCCCTATCAAGTGGCCCTATGGGCCCTAAGAGCAGAAGGAACTTGGGTTTTACAGGCAGACCTGGGTTCAGTTACTGGCCATGACTTTGACCCCCAGTTTCTGCATCTATAAAATGGGGGTGCTAACATCTCTGAATTCCTCCTTTGTGTCCATCTGTCTATTCTCCCTTTCCTGACCACCTATTCTGTGCCAACGCCTGTGCTCAGACAGGGACCCAACCCTGATGGAGGCTGAGTCCCAGCACCCACAGAGTGACTGTCTCCTATGGGGCCAGGAAGCTCTTGACTAAAGTCTGTCCTGAGCTGCCCAGTGTCCTGTCCAAGGCTCCTCTTCTTTATTGACTGCTTGCTCCTGAGGACATATGTTTCTCCTGCTTCACTGGGTCCCTGTGCTCCACTCTGCCCCACGTTTGGATCTTCATCCTATAGCCCCTTCGCTATCCACCAGGGCTCACCTGCCCAGCCTCACAGCTTGCAGCAGAGAGATGAAGGTCTGGTCTGCCTGCCTCCACACCTCGGTCAGCTCCAGCGTCACTGGCACACACCTCCTCCAGCTCTTGGCCTGGTGGGGATGGGGTGGGGGTGGGTTAGGGAGCAGAGCAGACCCCTGTGGAGGGCAGGGCCAGTGGTGAAGTAGTACCTGGAAGCAGAACTGCGGGCGCTGGGAGCCCTTGGTCACAGGTGGCAGCTGCAGGAAGTCCCCACAGATGATGAGCTGGATCCCGCCAAATGGTTTGTTCTGCTGCCGGACAGCTCTGGAGAGGAGCATGGGGCGTTTTAGGGGCTGGGATGGGCGGGTTCCACACTGAAGTCCAGCAGAACTCAGCTCTCACTCACTGCGCATGCTGACCTGGCCACAGCCTCTAGCTTGTCAAACAAGTCTGCCTCCACCATGGAGATCTCGTCAATGACCAGCCGCTGGCAGCTCAGCCAGCCCTGCCGCACGCCTGGCCGCTGGGCTAGGGCCACACACTGTGCCAGGGGAGCCTGGCCCGAACCGATGCCTGTGAGTGACACTATTCAGCCTGGGCTGAGCCCCCAGCCCCCTCAACCCTGACCTCTCCCTCCCTTCCCACAGACCTGGCTCAAGACCCAGGGGTTCCCACTTACCCGCAAAGGCATGGAGGGTGGTGCCCCCAATATGGCAGGCTGCCACCCCAGTGCTGGCAGTGGCCACAGTGCCCGTGGGGGGCAGTGAGCCCAGGATACGCTTCAGTAGGTATGATTTCCCTGTCCCTGGGCAGTGGGCAAAGTCAGGGCCACCTGGTCCCCCATCCCACCCCACCCGACCCCACC